CATCAAACAGGAGGAGAGATATTAGCGTGAAAACCAGAAAACGGATCAGCGTCACGGTCACGGTTTGCACTGTTAGAAATCTTTTGAAATTTCATGGAAAGTATGACTGTAATTCTCATGAGAGTGACATTGAATCGGATTTAGAGAAAAAATGGTTATGAAATTGCCAGTTTTAGGTCGAATTCAAGGAAATTCATGAGTTTTCAGTGGAAGTGTGATGGAAATTCCACAACTCCATTGAATTTTCAATGGAACATGAATATTCAGGAACACAATGACATGAATTTTCAATTTTCCCCGAATTTTCCTGATTTTTGTGAATTTTCACGGAATATATTAACTGAAAATTCCAGTGTTTTATTGATTTTCAGATTATTCGAACAGAAAATCAATGGCATATTTGATTTTTCAATCATAATATTTCCCGAAATTTCGGTGGAAATTAAACACGATATAAATTTATAAGATTTGGCGCGGAAAATTCAGCCGAAAATTTTCAACAGTGGGTTCTATAGGAGATTGTTTTAATCAAGTTTTCTCGTGAACATCTCCCAAATGATGAATTTTTGTAAGATTTCTTTGGTGGGGAGTTCCCAGTGATACAGCAAAGCCCATTAATATATTCATTATGCCCAAATAAATGTACCAAAATCTTCACGTTAATCCCCCTCCACTCCCCAGAATAGAATCATCAAAATTTTCTTCACGCATCAAAAGAATGTCTAAGAAAGTTTGAATTGATGAACGGAGAAAAAACGTTGTAAAATCATGTAAAATATTGCATTGTGAAATTTAATCGTGATGGCTGATGGTGGTTTCCTAGAAATCACTGCTCTCCGCGTGAATTTTAAATCACGCGAAAATGAAGTTCCACTCCATTCATCTTTCATTTCGCCATTTTCCTCCTGAATTTCCAGTAAACTTTTCATTTTTATCAGATTTTTTTTCGTATGCGCCACGAAAATTGGAGTTCCGCGGAGGAATGATGCAATTCATCCATTCGTTGCAGCTGACTGTGATCAACTAACTCAGCGGAAATGGAAAAAAGTTCTACTCACGTAGAAATTTATTTGAAAGGTGTATAAGAACTTGACACCTATTTCCTTCACCTCACTACATACAATTATCCCCACCAACTGATGAAATTCTCACGATTCATTGCGGTTAGCAGAGTGGACAGGATATCAAAAACATTCAACATGAATAAAAAAAAAATATCAATTTCACTGGTATTTATTAAATTATTGACAGCTTAAAATATCATTTATCAATAAGTATAAGATAATTTATTTTCATTATTCTGTATATTACATAATATTAAGTGAAATACTGCGTAAAAATACATCGAACTAAATAAAAAATAATGCAACTATTTGTCACTATTCTGTTTTAAAAACCCTAAAAAACATAACGAAAGTTATTTTATATTTCGTTTTGACTGCTATTATTATTATAAATCATACGATAATTATAACAGAGCGCTAGGGCTTTACTTTTAAATCATGATGATGACACACACGCTGGTGTCGTCAGCCTGAAGAACATACAATTTTTCATTTTCATTACATATACTCAGGTATCTCGAAAAAAAACCGATGACGGTGTAGAGAACTGATTTCATTCTTCAAAACGTCCACTATTTTACATAAAATAGTGGATTTTTTATTTTATTTTTTTTTCTGCCATCTTTCTTTTCTTTTCAATTATCAACCAATTAAATAAATAGTTAAAATTATACGACAAATTATTTAGCTGATTTAATAAGACGATTACACCTTCATGTCAAAATATAAGCCACTGACTACGAAGATTCTCTGAATAAAAAATCTCGAATTCCAGAAATAGAATTTTGTACAATTGTATTAAGTAACGAATAATGGATATTTGTGTTTTAACCTCTCATAAATAATTTGATTAATATACAATAATCGAGACATGATGGCGATTATTTCTATGGTGTTAAGTACATTCAGGGTAAATTTTGTTGTTTTTCTTTTCAATTGAGGGAACAAAAAAAATCTGTGGAGTTGAGGTACGACTCAGCACCGAGAGAAAAAATAAAGTTCTCCAACAAATCTTGTTCGCTAGTTGGAAATTACCAAAAAAGAAATTGATTCGAATTTGAAAATCTCAAAAACCCAGCAAATTTGATAGAAATTTCTATACGACTTTATCTACTGAGAAATTTTCTACAGGAATTCTCTGACATGCATTTTCTACGCCTTTTCCATTCTATTTTTATTCTCTTTTCATTTGAGAAATCGAACGAAAAAACTTGAAAAATTCAAGCCGAAGAATTTCTATCGGAAAAATCCCAATGGAATAGAATAGTTCTCTGGAACAAATCAGGGTCTATTGATTTCTTCTATAAAATATTTTTCATTGAATATTTCTATTGAAAAGAAAGCAGATAAGCTGCGGAATTTTTCAATAGGACCGGTTAAGAACTAATAGAAATCCGATAGAATTTCCTACCGAATTTACCAGGTCACTTTTATTTTTCAATTCGAAAATATTGAAAAATAGTGAAAAGTAGTATATTATGTCACAAGGCTGGTAAAAGTATGTCTCGACGAAAGAGTCGAAAGCCTCGTTCTGCCAAAAAGCAATTTTTGTTCCCCCAGTGAATGAATTAATTGTTGTGCAAAATATTTAAAGCAACTGGTGATTAATATATAGTCTATTTCGTCATTATCGCCAGAATTCTTTCTGACCTAGTCACGAAATACACTATTTCATTACGGCGTCCGTGGAACGGTGCTTCACGGATGAAGTGCTGAAAAATCGATCAATTGAGAATACTGTCCTACGATAATATTCCTGCGGCAGATCTATTCGCCTGAGTCAATGTCTCGAAATTTCAACTGACATTAAAATAATCTTCATTTTTTTCTGTATTTTTCCTCATTTTCTTGGCACACGTGGGATAGATGAAAACAAAAAAATGATTGAATAATTTTTTTCATTCGGATTCTGGCCCATTGGAGTCGTTTTTCAATTTATTATTCCACACTAGTAAATTGTTATCGAACATTACGATAAAGGGTGAGACTTTGATGAAGATCGAAATGCAAAAAATAATCCTCCGAATACCATTCGACCTTGACGACTAATCGAACATTTCTCTCATGTTTGCAAGTGAGAAATAGCCGGCAATTTTCGAGGTCTCCTCGTATTACTAATTATTGATTTTCGAGAGACAACGGTAAATGATTGACAAATGATTTTTAGTCTAACAATAATAAACGAAGGGATGAAAGATTGATAATACAGATATCAATAACGATTGAATTTTCATTTTACTATGAAAATGACTGTTATGAAAAACATCGAGGATTTCGTAATGCTTCATTGCTCTTATTTTCATTTTGTTTCAATCGATGATTGAATTATTTGCTTCAATCTAGCGTCGTAGTATCTGCACAACGCAATTGCATATATTTCGTAATGAGCAAATTAATACCGATAATTTCTACTTATCGACTAAGTAACGTCTAAATCGGACACATTTTTACATTTTTTTTTTTCATTTTCTCATTTTTTCTAATGTTAGTCACTGGGAGACATTACTTTTCAATAGAAAATATACTACACGAAAAAACGTTTCTATTAAAAAGCACCCCTCAAATCTAGTAACAATGCAATAACTCTCGTAAATATATTGTCATTTTTACTATCGATTTATTACATTTTTTACTGGAATTTAGAGCTCACTTCTGATGTAATTTTCTCGCCGCATAGTTTTTAAAAAATGAGAATACGGGAATTCTCGATTACAAAATTGATATTCATCATTCAAGGAAGAGTTTTATCTGAGAACATGATAACATGAATACTTCATCAGGAAATTGGAAAAAACGTGACCTCTTCTGACCCAGTAGTATCGGATACTGGACAGAATGACTCTATAAAATTACGCGCTTTTCGCCTGCATTATGAAAACTGCACGGAGAAAAAAGTTGGAGAGAAATTACCAAAAAAATCGAGTAATCGTTGAGCGAAATCCATTTCTTGCTCTTTTTCATACTATATCGGGGCAAAAAGTGCGAGACGAATAGTGGATTGTTGTGAGAATAATTTGTGCCGAAACTGTAAAATTTACTATTTACGCTATTAACAATTATCCCATGAACGTGCATAATTGCCCAATATTGCGTAATTATTCCCATATGTGTAGGCATTTTTCTGTGATGGTAAATTATTTTGTTTCATCACACTGGTCGTGAAATGTCGTTTTACGGACACTTCGTGTGAAGCGAGGTTATTAGAATCGCGGTTGCTCGGGCCTAGTGACATAAATAGCTATTTTTCCGTACTGACCTTCACTTTCCCTCGTCCGGGGATTGGTATTGGCCCTTCTCCAAACTCGTTGAAGTGAAAATCCCTATGAAAAAATATCGTTCACGACTAGCGCCATAGGGTTTTTCTACTCGCCTTGTTGACCAGTCCTCGCCTTCGGCTCGGACGCCAACTCCACGCGAACGAAAAACCCCATGGCACTCGCCCTGAAATATACTACCCATTTCCCCCAAAATTTTCTGCGATTTTCCAGATAATTTTTATTCAACTTTTCCCTCCTTGTACTGTGAATGAACTGTTTTTCAATTCAACGTGGGTGCAAATTTCCTTGCATCTCAATTAAAAATGTTATCATATTCTCAAACATGAAAAATCGTTCTTCACTGCCGAATCAAACTAAACAAAACATGCATAATTTCGAGCAACTGTAAAAAATGTTTCAACTTTTAGTAAAAAATAATAAAGAATCTTTTAAAATGAGAAAGATCGTGGGTCAAATACAGATACTTAAATGCCGCAAATTGTCGCTGAACTGAGAAAAAAAATTGTTTTTGCCAATTATATTTACTAACCACAAGAAAATTTATACATGTCTTATGCAGATATTTATATACATTTACTTATGGCAAGTAAATATACTTGACAAAATTAACTTTTTTCCTCAGCGTAGACTCTTCCTTTTTTTTTGTTTGTCACTACGGCCTCAGAGCCCTTTTCGGATCCCACTCGGCACTTCTATCCAACCCTATGCATGCGCCTGTGGATTCTACACTGTGCCGCATTCGCACTCCTACACAACATTGGAGTAGCATAGGAAACCTCACGAAATCCATGTCGGTACAGGCGATCACTCTATTAGCAACCTCCCGCTCGCCGGAGCCTCAGGTTGAAAAATTCGGTTCCCCTCGGGATCGAACTCGCAACCTTCCGCACACTAGACTTGCGTCTAGCCCACTCGGCCACCGACATCGGTGCTAGACTCTTTCCTTTCGCAAATTTAGAATCTAACGGTAAAGCAAAACTGTGTCTTACTACCTATGTGTCTATATTTGTCACTTACTTTCTCGTCATTTCCCTCTCTGTCTTCTCCATTACTAGCGAATGATACGAGGAACACACGCACATAAGGGGTACTAGCTAATGAAAAGAAATTCATGAAAAAATGGCTAATTGTGGTGGCAAATGATTAGTCGGCGTTCTCGGGTGCCTCGATGGCGTCATCTGTGGCGTTCTGACGACAGTGGTAGACATACGCGTTCACCGAAAGGTCGTCGTCCGTGCGAATGCATTTGAAGGTTCTGTCACTACACGTGCACCTGTAACAAATTAATTATAAATTGTTTATTCACCATTTACAACTTCATGAGGACTTTTTAAATCATTCAATAAACTCGAAATGATGAGGAGAATGTCAGTTTGTTTTTCCTGGGGCTCGTAATTCTTAATTGTCTTTACAAAAACAAGTTTATGATCATAATAGGGAACTTGCATGAAGCTCAATTCTTTCTAATTCCCCTATTGACACATTCCTCGTAACATATGGATAGTTGAACGGCGAAAATTGTGGAGAAATATTGCCTAGATGTCTTATGATAATTGATTGAAAATTAGTCGTTTTCGAGGCCAATTTTTCGGTCATGACGTCACGAAGACGGTCAGGTAACGCTTCATTGGTTGCAAAAGAAAAGAGTGGGAAGTTGTCGTATTCCATTGGCCGAGGCGCACCTCAAGATTGGGTTGGGTCGCCTCGAGCCATTCTGTGATTTGTCCAACGCTCGACCGTCTGTGTGACGTCATTAGCGATTTCAACGGGTTTGAAATCTCCCACTTTCAACAATTAACTATTAATTAATGAGCAATATTTCAAACGTTTGCGAATGAAAAATGAATTATTCAGATCCCAAACTTGAAAAAAATTCATGCAAGTTCCCTATTGTGAAGTTTAGTTCCAGTGATCTTATTTTGTCAGTTGAGAGATGCAAACAAGATAATTCTTCCCACACGACCAAATTATTATGACATTACCGTATGATCATAGTTCAAATGAAATAGGCAGCTACGGAAGTTTGGCCGTCACATCCCATCTAAATCTCATGTAAGTATTTGATATTTCCGTTTCTCCGGTTTGACCCTCTAGAACGTTTGAGCGTTTGAATGTACGGACAGTCTTCCCCGTCCCTTAATTTTATGTCCTAGGGGAGAGTGGAGCAAAGTGGAACGTTTGTGATCTGATTAAATGCTTGAAGTTTATAAACAAAGATATTGGGATTTCCCGTATTTTACGACATGAATTCTGTGTGCCCTTCATATTCTATCTAAACACCAGTTACTCTAGTCATCGTGTGAAGAATTATTATTTCCTTGCCATTGGCTTGCTGAGTGGCAAAATTCGTGACAATTCAAATTGGTCCATGAAAGTATCTAGGAAATTACAGGATTTTTCAGAATAATATACTACCCATAATCCCCGAAGAGAATGAAGTATTTCTAACAGATGAACTATTTTTTCCCATGTTAAGGATATCTAAGTACTTCGTTGAAATTAGCAACTTTTTTTCAAGCAAGATTTTAGTTTTGCTGACAATTTTGTCATTCTCGTACTTTCTAGAATTTTTCATTGTTGAATACATTTTTTCGGGAATTTCTTCAATTTTGTGAATAATATTTTATTCAATTTCAAATTTGACTCTTGTTGGTCTAACCTCTAATGATCATAACACCCCACATGTGTTCATATAACTTCGTAAATTCGGCTCGAATAGACACTTAAGGTACATCCGTAGAAAACACGTTTTTCTTAAGAATGTCCTCATGTTTGTCATAGATAATGTTTATAACAGTCTCCAGCTATTGAAAAAAATTTTAACTAGCTGTACTACATAGTTTAGAAGATAATAAATAATGAAATAATGAAGCTTCTAACACGCGAGTCATAGGCCAAATGGAGGTTATGGGTCCCCCGAACTCGATTTTTCCATCTTATGAGAAAACGATTCTTACGATGTTATTAAAAAACTAATCCGTGATAGATCGATAAATTCCGAATACGCTGAATTTTTTGTAAAATTTTGTACTACATAGTTTCTGCGATATTCAAATATAAAAAATGGACATTTCGTGAAAGCAATCCTTATTTGATTCAACAAATTAATTAACAAATAATTCTCTATTTGGTTCAAACAGTTATTGTTGCCTGCATCAACAACACATGAGAATAGAAAAGCTCAGTAACTTATGGGAATGCAATAAATTGAGTTATTTAGAATTTTTTCCGGAAATCCATAGGGACTAACTTTTGGATGCGATTGTCTTGGGATAGGGGAGGATGGGGCAAAACGGCCCCCCTTCAATCGTCAATATTTTCCGATTCAATAATCCGATTGGGATGAGTTAGAGCTCGTTTTGAAGAATGAAAAATTATCTTCAAAATGAAGTTGAAACTGGGAATTTTCACAATGTCATTCACAAGTTATTGACAATTGAAGGGGGGCCGTTTTGCCCCACCCTCCCCTATACCTTAAGGATATCCAACTAGTTCAGGGGATTTTTTCTAGGGGAAATCCTCTGCAGAGCTTATAGAATAGACCAAGAGTATCTTTTAGGCGCAATATCAACTTTGGTTTCCGAATATTTTTTCGAGAAAACGATTTTTTTTTTCATTTCAAAAAATGAAGTTTAACACATTGCATCCATAAGAACTGAATACTCCCACTTTCAACCCAACAGCACTGATAGACTGATTCATTTATTTCAAACGAGATTCGGTAAGTATTAGCGAATGGTAGAGTTGAACATGACCAAATAAATATTCGTTAAAGTTAACGAATGGTTCACTTAAAAGATGAAAGTCGACTCAAACAAGGCTCCTCAAGATTTGGTGGAAGAAAAATAAGACAAAGTCGCAGTTTGGCGTATGTTCACCAAATTGCGGTTAAATTTTGAAATGGATCAACTCACGTATTCGAGATGTACGTTTGAAGTTGCCTTATGAATGGCGTATAGACTGCCCATCCACAAGGTTGATTGCCACAGATAGTTTGGTTGATGGCTCCTGGTGCTAGCGTAGTGGCTGCACGTTCGATCCTCAGTCTCTCGTCTTCGGTCTCCTGTGCGATGGCCTGAAGAGACTTCTCGAAAATCTGAAAATAATAAGCAAATAATTATAATGTTGTTTCATATCTAGATTCCTTCTGAGTAAAGTAATACACTGTTAAAAAATTTTCGCTGCAATTTCCGTACACTTTTCGGAAATTTTTATCACATTTTAGTCCATGAAAATTCAGAATGTAATGGAAAAATTCAAGTGAACTGTGACTTTCAGTTCAGTTATTCTCTGAAAATGAGTAGAAATCAGGGAAATTCCGGTAAATGTTCTTGAATTTTCCATTAACTGAAAATTCATCGTAATTCGACACTGAATATTCATGATTTCATTGAAAATTTAAATAGGTTGAGGAATTCTCATGTCAATGCTGTCCAAAAATTTGGAATTTCACTGAATGTTTAGTAAAATCAGAAATTTTCTGATTTTTTTCCCTTAAACCACATTTAATGTCACTCGTCTAAATATTACTGGTTAACTCTTCGTGAAATTTCAATTTTTTTCTAACAGCGTAAGGTGGAAAAATTCAACTTTGACTTGAGATTTTGGACATTTTTGCTTTGCCTTTTGATACATTATGCCTTATGTTTGTAGGCCATCAATTACATGGGAAAAAAACGACGGCGGTGGATATATGGTGATAGTTAGAGACCTTCCTGGGAGACCAATACGCTACTCGATAATTGAAGTCCATTCAGAATTTTCCTTTCCGTGAAGAGACTATTTTTTGAGGAATAATATTGTACATAGACCGACATCAATCATTAATTTAGTAATATTATGAGAAGTTCCACCTTACAATAATCAAGATTTATTATCTTCATTGAAATTTGAAAAATAATATAATAATTGGTAATTTAATTTCTCAATTACTGGTTGATAAAATAATTGGGAGCGTGAATATTTAAATTGATGGTTATTTTAATAATCAAAAAATTGGTGCATAATAATAAGAATTGACTTATTTAAAATTCAACTTTAATTCAAAATCATGATTATGCCGATGTCTGATATGTAATTAAAAAACCGATGGTGGTGGCCGTGGGGTTAGAGTGTCGGATTGGCAGGCGGGAGACCCGGGTTCGATTCCTGACCGGAGAAGCCAAAATTTGTGAAAGTCTAAATCTTTCGGTTTCATTGTCAAGCGGGAGCCTGAAGTGAGGTTTTCCCTTGTCCTTCGGCGAACGCGATGCAGGGGCTGGGGGGTGGGAAGGGAACAAATCTTAAAAACCCGAAAGGGTATACAAGAAGAAGAAAAAAACTACATGGGAGGAAGGATTCTAAATGTTATCCATTCACTTTATACGAGGGAAACAATTAATTGATAATCAATGCAGAAATTTAAAAAATCGGAAAAAGTTAGTTCTCAAGAGCACCTGTCCGGCAAACCGGGCACGTGAGATCATTCGCAATTGAGTTCTAGCCCTTGAGACTCCGAATTTTTTAATTTGGTAATGCTTACCATTTTTTCATGGTAATGCTGACCACATTCCATTGATATTTTTTGTCCAAACAAAAAATACTCCTTTCAGTACTCTCACCGAGAATAAAAATGACCAAATTCCGTAAAAATCTTGGAATTTCAGGAATTTGTCCTACCAATATCGAGCGAGTATATTACCCTTGAGGTGCTTACTATGCCCCACAGTAACCATTACAATGTTCCATGGTAGCCATTCCCATGGCCATGGTAATACTCACTAAACTTTGGTAACGTTTACTATCTGCAGATTTCGACATAGAAATTTTTACTATTTTATTTTTTCCATGCGGTTTCTAATCGATCGATCGGAAGGTCGAGGGGTGATCAGAGTAGAATGACACTGTACTCCCCCTTTATCATCGAGTAATTGCGTCAAACCTGGGTCAAAGTCGATGACCCATCCATCGTAATACCAAATCACAGAGTTTATCTCAACGCAAAAAAAAATTCTCCGATTTTTCATTTAAATCATTCCTGTGAATTATTGCAATCGTTTATCACCACCCCAATTTTATTAATTCTCTCCTCGTACATTAATTAATCTCAAAAATGCCGAGGATAACGTCGTAACACACTTGTAAAGAGGGAGGGGTCCAATCGATTATTAAGTGAATGATCATGGCTACGATAAAGAGATTGAAGGCGAGGGGAAAATCGTTAAATTGCTGTGATCGATCGAACGATTAAATCCTGATCAGGCCAGCGCTGCCCTCCCTGATGGAACAATTTGCTATGCATTCCCTCCCCACTCTCATCGAATTCAACGCGCCCAACATTCCTTCAGAAGCTCGATCCATGCACTTCTCAGGTGGTCTCAAGACATCACTGATACGTAATTTTTACGTATTAAGGATATCCAAGTATCTTTTACAGTTTGGTACAGACCACACGATAGATTCGACCATTTTCAATCATCAAATTTGTCAATTAAATTGCGTGAGAAACCTTTGAAAAAAATCATGAATATTCACTGTCATTCAAATTACATTTCGCATAAAATTATTATTTTTTTAAACATTCGATTTTATAAATAAATAATTGAAATTGTTTATTAAACTGTCGGAAATCGTTTCTTTTATAAATTTGTTACGATAATGAGGAAATGATTTTTATGATGGAAACTTAATTGTTTATAAATTATTTATGGAAAATGCTCGTAATTTTCAAAAATAGCAATTTTTTAATTATTTTATCAATCTTCCTCCAAAAGTAAACTTTTTAATCTGTTTGATATTTTTAGAATGGATTCCAACGCGTCAATATCAAGATTGGAATTCAGACCAGCAAAGTTTAAATAATAAAGTCATTGTAAAATGCGCGAAAACTTAGGGTCAAACGGGGCTCGAATGAAAGCTCTAATGTGCGACTACAAAAGTAGAAAAGTATTTCACTGGAGAAAAAATAGTCAAAGTATTTGGATATCGTTAAGGGTCAATTGCGGTGAAATCTCAAATACTTCATTGAAGCAAAGGTCGTATCACGACGACACGTTAAAAAGTGAGAAAAAATCGATTTTGCCCTGTGAATCAACTAAAGATAACGTTGTTCATTTTTACCTGTAAGGAGAGCCTACTATGATTTTTAAAACTCACGGGTTGCATCAATTATTCGTCTAAAAACGAATAATTGATGCAAAAAATCGAGTGTTGATTGTTCGTTTCCCCCGCAGACGTTTAAAATATTAAAAATCCTTCAATTTTTAAACTATAGAGGTCTCCGATTTTTATCTACAGAGGTTTGTTCTTTCAAAATTTTTTAGTGTTTTGGAAATCCACTCCTACACAGCTAATTTTATTGTTTTACATAGAAAAATGAAATTAACTAGGGGGGTAGAAGTCGAATTTAAAAAAAACTAACTCGTAATTGTTATCGTATTTGTTCAAACATTTTGAAAAAAAAACCCTATAGCGGCAAAATTGGGGGCCCTGGACTATTTTTAACACTTCAAGCCTCTGCGGGGCAAATGAACAATAAACAATGAATTGTTTTGCACAAATTATTCATTTTTAGACATATATAATCGATCTTCAATGCAAGAGAAATCTCACTCCAATGCCCGCAGCTTTTAGAACTCATAATAGTCTCCCCCGAAAATCCTCCAATCGTCTCAGTTTTCATCCGATTGACAATGTTTTAAATGTTCATTAGACTTCGAAGAACAAAGGTATGTGTCCGTCTTACAATCCATTGGATAGATCATGGAAAAATTGAAGATTTTTTTTTTCACATCGATTTTCCAATTTTTCATTATTTTCCGCAATTTTCCATGATTCGTTCAGCGGATCGTAAAACGGATGCAGATCTTTGAGGCACTTCGACGATTTTAAACGTGAAAATGAGAAACGTTTTTTGGCGATTCACGGGGCAAAATCGATTGCAGTTATCATTTTTCCCACTTTTTAATCAATGTTATCATACATCGCGCAATAAGTTCGTAGTTGTAACGAGGACTTTAAAATTTCACCGCGGTCTCCCCTTAAATTCTTTGATGTGGGTCGCGCTCGATTTTTATTCCTCTCATTCTCCTCCGCCGAGCCCCTACCTTGTTTCTTTTTTTTCTCATTCTTCATTGTGCATTTGAGTGACCATGAAGTCAATGGAAATGATTCGGTCGTTGTTTGCATAGTATGAAAACAGGCACGAGCTACTGCGGTACTGACACGGGAAAACAATGTTATTGATTGAAGATTATTGTACTTGAATTGAAAATTTTTGGAATCCTTAAATTTTTCGTTTCTGCGAAGAAGAGAACTGCATTCACTTAATCCAACTATTCAGGAAGATATCATTGGATGAAGAATAGTTCATCTTTCAATGAAGTATTCAGTATTTTTTATTGCAGACGGAAACATATTCTCAAGAATAATTTTCTCCTGATTCAGGAATATTAAATATTCTCAACTCGAAAGTCTGTGTTGTTGAATCAACAAGTGCAGAATCATTTATTTTAATTTTTTAAATTCAAGATTCGATAAATAGTCTTCGCTTGCGAATAAAATATTGTTACACTAAGAAAACCTTTCTAGAAAAATTTATGTGCTAGCGCCTTAAACAATTTACAATTCAGTAGCAAAGTGGTAAAACGGTCGACTTATCTTTCAGTTGATTTTTTGAGGAATATTTCCGAATCTAAGGGAGATAGCGAAATTGACTTGTACCGTTTTACTACTTCGGTGGTCCCACAATTTTTCTGGTGTCGTATGACAATTTTGATATTGAGAATAATCGCGGGTCCCCTCCTACCTCACCCAAATCCAAATTGTGGGGGTACCATAATGTTTCTGGTACCGCACGAGAATGTTCCTGGTGCTACGCAACAATTTTTCCAAGTGTGCGAATTGTGACCCGTTCATAATGCTTAGCCCATGAATTTTTTTGAAAAATTTCTCTCCGATTAACGAAAGAATTTCCGGGAGATATTCTAGAATACGGAATTTTGCTATGACGTTTTCAATATTTTTAATTCCCGAGAAAGTCACTTATCCTTGATTTTCAACAAGGTGAATGTTTTCCGCATGAGAATGTAGCTGAAAGAATTCCTGCCATAGATTCTTAAATAGAGAACATTGCTTCTAGAATCAAAAATATTTCTTATGAAATCAAGTATTTGCTATTTAATTAACAAACCCTAACTCCAATTCTTGATTTATTTTTTTTCATCATTTCAATTAGCCTTTTTTCAAAACCAGGTGAATATTTTTTATTCGAGAATACAATATTCTTGAAACGAAAATATTTAATATCTCAAAATTCCAGAAAATACTTTGTTCTTAATTTGAGGATGTGCATGGTTGTTTTAAGATATTGAGAATCCTCGATTGAAATTTCATTTTCTTGATTTAAGAATGAGTAAATATTTTTATAAGGAGAATATTCCCTCTGAAATCAAGAATATTTTTTCGATTTTTTTTATTCAAGTGCTCAACATTTTTAATCGCCAATATTATCATATTATGAATTTGAGAATCTGTGTCACTGAATTAAAAACTCAAAAACTTTTACATGGGGGACATTTTACCCAAGAATCCTTATAGAATTGAATATTTCATGTTTTTAGGGCATGAAAGACGAATATTTCAAACTCACAACTATTTTTCCTCCTCCAACATCTTAAAAAAAAAAGAAAAAAATCATTAACAAAAGGGAAGGTACTTAATTCCACTTAATTTCATCCAGCGAAAATTTTGAAATAATTAAAAAGAACGCATCGATTGATTTATCCTTATTCTATTTTCATTTTCCATTTTTTTAATTCAAGTGTTCAACATTTTTAGTAGCCAATCATACCATATTATGAATTTGAGAATCTGTGTGATTGAGTGAAAAATTAAGAAACTTTGGCGCAGGGAACATTTTACTCAAGAACTCTAATAGAATTGAATATTTCATATTTTTAAGACACGAAAGAAGAATATTTCAAACTCAAAGCTATTTTTCCGCCTCCAACATATTAAAAAAATGACGAAAAAAATCATGGAAAAAAATTAAGGTAATTAATTCCACTCAATTTCATCGAGCGAAAATTTTGAAATAATTAAAAACGACGCATCGATTGATTTATCACCGGAAATAACTCGCCCCTTTTCTTTCCAATTTCATTAATTATATAAACTCTTAATTGATAGTCTTGGTTTGATGATAAAAGTCGAGTGCAAAAGGTCTATACTTTGCATGCGATAGTAATGCATAGGCATGAATGCGCGCCTCGGTTTTATGAATGGGAAACCTCGACAGATCCGGATTGCATTACCACCGCGGCAAAGAGAGGGAGGGGAGAGTACCAGGCCTCTATCTGGTTTCTCCCGCCAGTGAGCATCTATTAAGGATAATCGGGCGAGCCCGGAGGGTTAGAAAAAAACCAGCCATTTTTTTCTTTTTTTTTTTAACGTATTCTTTAAATGATGGAAAAGCCATGTGCAAAGTTTTAGACTGCTGGGAATCATAGTTAAATTATTATGAATTTTTGAAAAAAGTGGTCATTTAACCCGTAATCTTACGGAAATCACAAAAAAAACTGCAAAACCCAAGGAAAAAATGCAGCCAAAGTCATGAAACATTAGACACATTTAGAACATTGTCGCGTAAAAGCATTGTTTATTGATAATAGGGAAAAAAGTACTAAAAATGAAATTTCTGCGCAGCAGCCTAAACGTTCAGCAACGTCCCAAGTACCGATCGGGTGGGGGTAGCGCGGTCAATTTAAACGTCTCTTGAGAGAGAGCGATGAAGCGTTGTGATTGGAGCTCCCTCGAGCCAGTGGTATCAGCTCCTGGTGAAAAAAAAAACTACCGACGATGTTGCCACTTTTTTGAATCGATTAATATTTTTTCATTCATTTAAAAAAAAACAATCTGAAAACCATTCAATGTGTGAACAGATACAAATAAATTTGATTAGCTCCAAAAATAATTTTTAACCGGAGATACTCCCTAATATTGCCTGAATTTTGAATCCGAATGGGAAAATATTTTTTGTTCAGCGATTGGTTTTCTGCAGGAAAACAATAGAAACCCCTCCGCCTCACCTCCTACATTTCCTCCACGCCCGATTATCCTCAATCACTCGTACGATTTTCATCAATGAGTTTCAGTCAAAAAAAAGACCAAATTCTATTACCAAAAAAAGGAAGAAGAAATAAAAAAATTCCCGAAAAAACGAAACTTCAAAGAACGGAAGTAAAGAGTGAGACAACGAAGAGACTAATAGCCACAGCTACTGTAAATACTCCATAAATTTCTCGGCGCGCGACACCGCAAAAGATCGAAGGGATAAAACGAATGGTGATGACAAATTTGTACTCTCGCTCTTTTGAAGCCTAGCTCCCCCGTTAAAAAGAAAACGACAGTTTTAATTTTCTCTGAAAGCTCTGATAAAACGAAAAAACAAGAGATGAATTTACTCACGTCTGTACGAACTGCTGCACCATCGACAATCGTGACATAAAGTACTGCCACAAGTAGAACAGCAACAACTCTTAGGCAGGCCATTCTCCCAATTGATAATAAATGAAAAATTATTTCCCACAGATAAAAATGAAATCAGGCAATTCACTTGTCCTTCTCCAGCCACTGATTACTCTCCTTTCTTCAATTTTCACGTGAACAGGAGTGTATAGTCTCCTTCGAAATGTATTCACACAAAATTTACCGAATGTCCTGAATATTCACAGAATCAATGATAGAGAAAATGACAATCGTTAATCTCTGTTTATTTTTTTTGTTTAAAAAAAACGTTATGTTTCTCTGTGTCTCTTTTATTAAAACCCGTTCGGCTTTAAACATAGACTGTCTTCTCGTATAGAGTGAGGATGCTTTGGTGCCGTCTCGGGTTTATATAGGCTAGCCAGTAGGACCCGGTATGGTGGGGGTAAGACTAAGCTAAAAGTTATAATAATAAAATAATAAGTCAAATATTACAATGTGTGATTTTCTACACGCAATGAGAAACTGCCACGATCATTTGACCAAGGAAGGGGGGGGGGTGAGGCAGTGAATGGGGGATGACTCACTGTTCTTTAAAAACAATATGAAGTCGGGGGTTGGAAAATGGGAAGATGTTTCTGCGGGAGGAATATTTTTCAAGTGGAGAGAGATGGGAGGGATGGGGAATTGGGTATAATTGGCTATTTGTGGTTCATTTAGTTTCTCATTGACTTGGCGGAATGTTTTCGGGGCGGAAGGGGTGGAGAGGGGGCGGCGGCAGAAATGAGGAGAATTCACGGCGTGAGGAGGTGACGAGGGAGAGACCCTTGTTAATACAAACAACCCCGTCACTTTGCATTCACGTGATTACGGTTTACACGGCGTACACGTCCATTTGATCACATGAGTTTCAATCAGCTTAATTGAGTGATGATGAAATAAACTCAAAATTTTTTGGTCACGGGAGAATAATTGTTTTTTGGGTTTTTTCGAGAAGTTAATGCTACATTATTTTTTTTCATCAGTGTATTTCGAGGTGGGACTGATGATATTTTAGAAGAGGAATGAAAACAAGTTCGTTTACGTTCGACTCTTGCTGCAAGCTTCCATGACAGACCCGAGTGGAAATTCCGGTCAGGTCTTGATCAAGTTTGGATCAGGTTAAATCTGACTACTGATCAGGTATTGATCAAGTTGACGGATCCGGTCCTGATCAGACATGTTACGCCTCTGACCAATCCGGATTTGATCAGGACAAATGGATCCCAACTTGATCGTCAACTGTATGAAAACCGGATGACTTGTCTGTCAGTATCAATAACAATTATCAATGATCATTAATTCAAAACAAAAAATAATTCAATTCGTTCACCGTAGGCCGCCTCTCTTAATGAATCTCTACTGTTATTACCTCTGAAAAAGCTTATTATTTTTTTACCGATGCTGGGGATCGAACTGGGGACCCTATGATTGACTAATCCTCTACCCTAACCACTACGCTATCGCGCTGTTACTGTTGAGTAAACTGTACATTGCCTATATGATTTGTATCGGGGTATTCATTGAATTTACGATTATTCCTGACCTCGCGGATGTGCGTATGTATTCTCAGAGATAAAATATGTTCAATTAAATTTTTATTTATTTCATTAATGAATAATAATAATGATAATAACAATAACTCTAATAAATAAATAGACATTTGGTGATTTTTTTTCTCAAGATCATTTGCGTGTAAGTTTGATACTCCTCTAATACGTATTTACGGTATCATCATCCCTCCCTTCTGTACATTTGAAAAGGGCTGGCTGTTAATTAAATTTATTAATTAAAATCAATTCATTAAATTAAATCAATTTAATTTAATTTATTTTAATTACAGTATAATGGTCCTTTTTAAAGATTACAAATAATTATTGATAATGGTCGATAAAAATGAATTTGAATAGTATAATAAAAGTTAATTAAATTATCCTAAAAACTTATTAAAATTAATGTCAGGTGGAGCGGATTTGAATCTGATCATTTTCTCTTCAATTGACCCCTTTCAAATGCCGATCAAGGACATCGAATCCGATTTTGATCAAATTGGGGTCAGGCAGCCGACCTCAGGGTGAGATCGTGACTGCCTGATCAGAACGATCTGGATCATCCTGCAGTTTTTCGGATCCGATCTACTGGATCAAAACTTGGTCAGGTTCTCATCAGGGATCATCTGATCATGTCTACCTGATCAGAAATTGATCTGAACCCGCCTGTAGTTTTTCGGATCCGATCTGCTGGATCAAAACTTGGTCAGGTTCTCATCAGGCATCATCTGATCATGTCTACCTGATCAGAAATTGATCTGAACCCGCCTGTAGTTTTTCGGATCCGATCTGCTGGATCAGAACTTGGTCAGGTTCTCATCAGGAATCACCGGATCAGTCGAACCTTACAAAAACCTGATCAAGTTCTGATCGTGCTTCAGGTGGGCCTGAAGCAATTTCCACTCGGGCAGCTGCGGCGCAGAGTACCTCAAACAATTCAATATGAGATTTTTAACCTTGAAAGACAAATGGTAAGCTCGATAACTTGATTCCACACATATTGTTCAACATTTAAATTATTTTGGTAATGAGTTTTTCCAAGAAAAAATACAAAGGATTTTTTTCCGGAAACTTCTTCAGCCGTTGAGAAGAAACTGTTATTAATTTTTGGTTGAAATTAACGGTTCACTCCTTAGAAATTTTTATCACATTATAGTTTCCCTGAAATTGGCCCTGAGGAACTAGTGCACTGCGTTGGTGGGCAGTTTAACTCTGGGTAGCTAAGCAGCGCTGAGCGTGCTCACTAAAGTGGAGTGGTGACTAGGAGAGAACTCCTGGGAAAAAACAAATGGTTCAAACTCGGGAAGTATTTTACGTTTCATACATTCATTCGAGCGAATATGAGCTTACAATCATATGTTCTAGAAATTTTTTGTTTTTTTTGTCATTCGACCGTAAAGCAGCGTTCCGCGGAAAGAATTAAATAGTAAAAATTACCATGGCCATAGGAGAGATGGCAACACAGTAAAAGGGTTTTCAAAACTTCAATTATAGAGAATAAATGGTGCATTCATCAGAAGTAGATAAACAATTAAAAATAAATAAACAACTCATTTGATTCAAACGGAGAATTACCACACACACGGAGAGAAATATTCAATAAAAATTACGTCATCTTTTCCGTAATTCCGGAAAGAAATATTCAATAAAAATTACGTCATCTTTTCCATAATTCCGGAGCGAAATGTGGTTGTAGGAAATTTTACGGAACTCTCACGGAATTTGCCCAGAGCGCTCCGTGATTATTATCTAAATCTCCTGTGAAAAATTACGATATCGTCACTTAAATTTTCTGGGTCAATTCCGTAATCGGTGAGCGAATTGTGAGTTCCGGAATTTTTACTGAACATTCCTCTCCGTGCATCAATAAATTCTCTTCCTTCGCCACCTAAACACCGATTTTAATTCTAACTAATGAACATTTACTTGTATGAAGAGAGCATTTGTTTACGTTTATAAAACTATTTATTTGATATGAATGAAAATCCATCTGGACTATTAATTTAGGTTTTAATCGGCGCTTTATTAGGGGCTCTGAATAAATCCATTATTTGATTCAAAAACATAATTTCTCTGTTCATATTTAATTATTTAGAATAATTTCATTGTGGGTTATAGGACATTTACGTAGCATAGGGAGCTGTACTGTATGTACAGATTACTAAAAAAACTATTATTATATTTTACTGAAAAGACGAATAGTACACGGAGAGAAATGTACGAGAAAAATTACCGTGCTCGCACAGTAAAGTGGGTTCAGATGGTCTTTCCAGGCGAAATGTGCCGCAAAGAGTAGGAAAAAGTACTTTTGCACGAGTCATTTTTCGGATAAATGCGGGGAAAAATTTTTGTGCAGCACGGTAAAATCGAAGCGACAGTGAATTTTTACGAGAAATACGAAAAAAATTATGACACTGGCTGGCAAATTTTTCCGGTGATCTACCAGAATCCTACACTAATAGAATGATTCATTTATTCCAAGCGAGATTCGTTAACTATTAACGAATGGTAGAGTTGAATATGACCAAATGAATANATAGAATGATTCATTTATTCCAAACGAGATTCGTTAACTATTAACGAATGGTAGAGTTGAATATGACCAAATGAATATTCGTTAATAGTTAACGAATGGTTCACTTGAATGGCGAAAGTCAAGTCAAACAAGGCTCCTCAAATATACATTCGTTAACTATTAACGAATGAACATTTGGTGAGACCGAATAGACCTTAACCTCCAATCAAAACCCATTCGTTAACAATAACTAATCCGTGCTATCAGTGTAGGACCCGATCGCGCATTCGTAAGATTTCGACACTCCTCCTCCCCCTTCCGTAACCGCGAACATCAACGTGACCAGATAATTTATTTCGTCGCCTCCTCTAGCCTCCTCTCTCACATATCTCCTTACTGAAACCCCAGGTTAATGTTTTTCATAATATCAATTCAGTGAAATATTAATTAGTGTTGTGATAGAACGGTTAAGAAATAAAATAAAGTGCCCTTTACTTTCTCTTCATGAGGTGTATAACGCTGGAGCGATACATTGGCCTGTCAAACGTTCCACATACGTTTGCCGCGCATTCCGCTTTCAATATGGGAGGGAGGATATGGAGGAGAGGTTAAAATAAAATTAATAGGATGATATGCTGAATAACAATGTTTACTCATTTTTAACTATTGAATGTAATTTATCATGTAATAGAAAACAGTCAGGGATTGACAGTCAGGGAAGCTTGCTTTTATTGTGCGGTACTGGAATTTTTACTATGCAGCACCGGAATTTTTCTGATGCTAGACAATTGAACCCACTTTACCAGACGGCACGGTAATTTTTGCCTGAATTTCTCCTGAAAAATTCTGGAATTTTTTTCTCCATGTACCCTGCTGTACCCAGCTGTACTGTATGTTACATAGTAGAACTTACTATGTAACATAGTAATTATTGCTATGTCCATAGTACCTATTACCATTGAGGAACGGTTACTATGGGGCATAGTAACCGTTACGATGTTCCATGGT